AGATGAATTTATATTTTTGATACATTTATATAAAAAAGATTATATATTATATTTCAAGCAATGCACTTGTATGAATATATATGGAACAATATTACATAACACGAAAGTCTTTAGATGCAAAAATCAGTTTCTTGGATAGAAGATTTTGCGGCTTTTTGGACTCTCTCTTGTCGTCCATGTAATGAGTTAACTACATCTCTTACGAAGATCGTGTGTGGAGGCCGAACCTACAAATTGGCCGCTACTGCGCTTTACTCCTTAAGGTATTGCTCCAAAGGATTTGAACCGGTAAGTTTTAAAGGTTTTGACGAATCTGACTCGTCTAAATGTAATAAAAATAATTGTCAGAAGTAAATAAGATTCAAATTTTTCATAGTTTCACTTACCAACTGAGGTATGCTGCAACGTATCTGAACTTTGCGACCGCAGGCAGGCTAACCACTCATTTAATGTTATTTTTTTATCACTATTAACATCACAGTACCGAGGCATTTTTTTACCGCATTTTCGCAATGTCCTATGATAATTAAATAACACTTCAAGTTTTTTAATTTCATTTTAAGGCTTTCCCAAACTTACTTTGTGTTAGTCACCAACTCACGAAATATCTTCCATTCTTTACGTTCCCAAGCTTTATTTTTATTTTTATCTAGTACCAAAAAACTTTGACTAGCAATGCGTTCATCCTCATTGTTCCATATGCCAATGCTAGTATTATTGATATTAATATTCCTGACAAAATTCGGAATTAAAATAACATTCTTTTAAATTTTTTTCCACAATTTGTTTTCAAACTTACCCAGTCTTCATGCCGGAAATTATATGATTCTTTAAGTATTCTTTAAGTTCTATAATGAAGGTTGTCTTTCTTGGTTCGGGGCAACCCTTCATAGGACGAGTTATTGTATAAACGGCATCACATTGTGGTCTTCGGTCTTTGACTGATGTTCCAGGTATATTTTTGCCGGTCTCCTCATTAACACACCAACAATATGGTGTTGAACGGTAGCATTGTACTCGTTGGTAACGACCGTCAGATGTACACTCTGGCACGTATATTAAGGTATTGCCATGCTAACCATTCATGTAAAAGCATAATTGTGAGATTATAACTTCAAGAAATATCTATCCAAAATATACCCTTTGTTCTTCCAAAGCAGTTGTCTGGTCTGCTAAACAATCTGATTCATTTTCGGTTTCTTTTAGTGGGGAATCTGGGGATTTTGGAATTAGAACTAGAAACGACAAAAACGAAATACCTATAATTTTGTAGAATTCGTAAAAAAGAGCTTCTTTACGAAGGTAATGAAATCGTATTTCTGCACCCTAAAAACATGCTGCAGACAAAAAAATAGAACATGCGAACTTCTTTATACGTACAATGTATAGATGGAAATTTCGTAGATGAACCAAATGCATTAATATAGCCCAAGTGATCGGTCTCATCTTCGTCATCTTCATAGTCAGCTTCGTCATCGTAAAGTTGTTGACTGCTGTCATCATCTTCGTCAAAATTTGTTTCGCTGTTGTCCTCGAAATCAGCATCTGGATGTAAACGATTGTTATTGTTATTATCACGAACAATGGAATTTTGATATGGATGACGATTGTTGTGTTCGCGTGTAAATGTCTTTTGGTGAGTAGATGGGAAAGCATTATGTGCGTATATTCGCCGATTATCCGCATGATGTGATTGTAATAGATGTATAGGATTAATAGAGACGTTCGTGCTTTTGCTACGATCTATCATGAAATGCTCTGGAGGGTAAGACGTGGAGAACGACAAATTCTTTTGAACAACATTTACTAGCCAATTGTTTTAAACATGCAAATTTTCGTCTTCAAGTAAAATTCAAAAATAAGTATATATATATAGGACGTGCACTTACGATTATTGTTATCTTTTGATAAGCAACTATTCCATTCCAGACGTGACAAGCGTGCATCATTGTCAAGATCGCAGAATTTACCAAAAGCACGTCCACATCGTCTGGGTTTGACGGCCTACGAACATTAGATGAACTTAACAAGTACGGAAAGTTGAGCCCGCCGGGGGGGGGGGGGGTGCACCAGCCCTTATTTTTCTTACCCTTTTCACCAGTTTCTTAAGTTCACGATACTCATTTTTGTCCAATATTTCGTTTGCATTTGCATCCAAATTGGCAAATTTCCAATCTGTTACTTCGTTATCGTGTCGCATTGCAAACGGTTTCATTAACTTCCCTAAACCCCCTTTTTCATTTTGCTGACATACACGTATATATTCACTTTGGAATATTTTAAAGAGATTGCCATTAAACAAGGCCCGGTCTGTCTGACTACAGATACGCTTTGTACTGCGCCTAGTTCCCGTAGTGTGCGGTGGTGAACGTCTAATATTAGCTTTGCTGTAGTCATGGCATTTTGGTTTCCCGTTGCGTACCGAAGTATTCTCTATCGGCTTTCCCTCTTTGTCGCTGCACCAGCAACCAGTATCAGCTAAACATTGTATTAAAGCGTACGTTCCATCTGATTTACATCGGGGTATAAATTTTGGTGGTGTTTTTGTTCTGTGCTTTAAAGCGTAATCACGAGCTTCATTGCATGCTAAAAAAAGATAACATTTTCATAAAACTTGTAAGAAAAAAACCATCGAAGAACATATTTTCATCAGCAAAGTAGAGTACTTGATCTCTAATCGTTTCAGCTATTGAGTTCTTTCGCTTATAAGATTATAGATTATATCGCATTACGATACCTTATAGTGCTGTTAAGGCATTTTTGAAATAAACAATCATTGGAGACAGAACTTGCATCCATAATTCCGAAACAAACGATGAAAAGGTTAAAGTTAAAAAGGAATTGAATAAAAAAAGCGGTCATGAGGAATAAGAATAAAATTATTCACGTTTCCATAGTTTTCTGGTAAAAGTCTAGTTTTCCGTGAAAATGCATGAATTTGCACAGTTTTCTTCTAACAATTCATGGTTCTCTTTAGCAATGCATGGTTTTCTATTTTTATTATTTATTATTTGCTCTAAGACAATTTTATATGCAAACATGGTTAAGATGGGGTAGTGGAGTAATATTATTTTATATTAGCAGGCTAAGATAAACGACTACATAATCATTTTTAAACCTTTTGCTTGAGACAGCCGCTATAATCACGTCATTACATTATTCTCTCAATCGTGTTGATCATTTATGATTTGAAATTCAAACTCAAGGAATTAGGTATGAAAAAACAATTTTGCTAAATTTTGATCAGCAACTAGTTCCAGTGAAACAAAAACAATAAATTTTAAGAATTACTTATAGTTGTGGATACGGAAGCAAGCCACAAAATGGATTGAAAGCGATTTTTCAAATATAAAGGAGCCATCATATTCAAAAAGAGCGATGAAACCAAATTAAGCAAATTTTTTCTATTCATTATAAAAAAATTCTGTGTTAAAAGTATTTTCCATCAAGCGAAGAAAATGTATAAATAAATATTTCGAAAGTCTTTAAAAAGAAGAATGCATTTATTTTTATTTTTTATTTTTTTTTTATTCACTTACATCCGTCTACAAATGTTCTAGCAGGATTGAGAGGGTTAGTACACTCTTACCTTTGCAGGATCCTCGATATCTAATGCTCACTTGATGACCACTGCACTGGACGCGCAATAGATGGCAGCGCGTCGGATAGGTCTGATCGTCGGTACCGCAAACTGGACGACCCTTAGTCTCATCACATTCGCCCACTTTGACAGCACACTCAGATATCTGAAATTTAGTAGGTAGATTAACAGAACATTTTTTTTCAGTAGATTTTAAATCTCTGAAACTGAAAAACTGAATTAAGAAAAATTCTGTTATTGACTTATTAATATGACGTCACAATCGTTTGCAAAGCACGACCATGTACAATTCTGTTTTCTAAAGCAATGTGGGGTATGGTGTGCTTAAATGTGAGTATGTATGCAAAAAGTCCAAACGCAACGTGTTTTCTTTTCATCGTTTATTTTAAAGAATTAAAGAATTTTTTATTTAATTTTATTTAGGAGTATTTTAAAGAAGTAATATGTTTTTGCTTTATAAACGTTTGAGAGAACGTCATATCAAAAAAACTTTAACGGTTTTTTGCTCACATAAATAATAAGAATGAAAGAGCAAGCATAAAACAATATCAGCATTGCTTCCGTTATTGGCACCAGATACATAAAAAGTACCTAGTCATGTCCCAGTCTCAATTCCGAATAAAATACTGATCATAAGTTTGCATGTCAGAAAGCAATGTTAAATAAAAACTAGGATTATTCTAACGGCATTTAAAGTTAATCTTCTAACCACATTAAGAAGACGCTGATGTGTAAAGCAAATTATACACAAAACAAGTCAGAGTTCCATACTCGGAGAAGGCTGAATACCCTACACCACTTCAGTTAATCAATAATACTCCGAAAATTATATTAGTTTGGGGAAAAAGAAATCCATTATTTTTTCGGTAGATAGCTGAACTGATAGATTTCTCGTAAAGCATCGATCAAACAATTTCACATTTATGCTCGTTGGAAAGGTGACATTTCGCAGTAAAAAAAATTCTTTTGCTGTTTTTTGTTTGGTGCATTCAGTTGTGAGTTACAGCGTGTTAAAAATGGAAGTGAACAAAGAGAAAATTCGGTTAATTTAACAGTTTTTCTGTGACAAAGGCGAAAATGCAAGCCAGGCGGCTAAAATTGTGAATGGTGTTTATGGTTCCGATACTGTAACAGCCAATTATGTACAATTTTGGTTTCGTAGATTCCGTTCAGGAATTTTTGATGTTAAAGATGCACCTCGCACAGGTAGGCCGGTCGTCGAAAATGTCGATAAAATCGGAGAAATGATTGAAGTTGACTGGCATGTTAGCAGTCGTAACATCGCTCAGGAGCTAAAACTCGACCATAAAAGAGTTTTAAACCATTTACACAAAGCTGCCACACCAATTAACAGAAAAAAACATGATGGATCGAATTTCCATCTGCGAAGCCTTGGCCAAACGGAATGAGATAGACCCATTTCTTAAACGGATGGTGACTGGAGATGAGAAATGGATCACATACAATAACCTTGTGCGAAAACGATCGTGGTCAAAGAGCGGTGAAGCACCTCAAACGGTGGTCAAACCAGGACTAACGGCCAGGAAGGTTTTGCTATGCATTTGGTGGGACTGGAAGGGGATTATTTATTATGAGTTGCTTCCATATGGCCAAACGCTAAATTCTGATCTCTACTGTCAACAACTGGACCGTTTGAAGATAGCGATTGACCAGAAACGGCCAGAATTGGCCAAGAGGAGAAGTGTCGTGTTCCACCAGGACAACGCTAGGCCACACACATCTACAGTGACTCGCCAGAAACTACGGGAGCTTGGTTGGGAAGTTTTAATGCATCCGCCATACAGTCCGGACTTGGCCCCAAGCGATTATCATCTTTTTATTGCATTGCAAAATTTCTTTAATGATAAAAAATTGGAATCTAGAAGGATTGCGAAAATCTACTACTAGAGTTTTTTGCAAATAGAGACCAGGACTTCTATGAGAGAGGCATTTTGAAGATACCTTTAAAATGGCAACAAATCGTACAAAAAAACGGTGCATATTTGACCCAAATCGGACAATCCCAAGCATGTTAAATAAAGTCCTGAAGTTCATATAAAAATAATGGATTTCTTTTTCCCCAAACTAATATATTATTTTTATGTAAATGAAAAATTTTTATTAAAGTTCTCATATTGAACGACATTCAAACGTCAACGTGGTGTAAATTATGTAATAAAATAAAAACCCCGCTAAATAATGATAAAATGGATATTCCAGAAGAAGAGACTCTTAAAATGTAAAAAACACATACGCATTTATGATTTGCCTTCGGTTATCGGATTGGCGAAGAGATTTGGAAAACATTTAAATCCTAAAAAGTGTTAACACAAAAATGACAGAATGATATTTGATAAGTAATTCAAAAAATCTTCTAAGAATTGTAACTGAAGCCTGGCTTCTAAAAATCTAAGTCCGCATTACGAGGTTGGGGATAGAATTGAACAATTATATGACGCGCTTTACATAACATTATATTAACACTAAACGTACCGCGCGGTCAAATGACCGTTTTTAAACTTTCGTTTAAAATTTCTCGCATAAAACGTTATTGTATCATCATGTATCTTATTGACTTTTCCTAAAATATACATACAAACAATTTTTCAATATTTACAACTTTTTTTAATGTGTATTTTCCGAAGAAAAATTATACCATGTCTAGTCGACCGGGCGCGGTCATTTGACCGCTTGAAAAATTTATGTTATAGAACTGTTATAAACCAGGAGCATATCTTACTATAGATGAACAATTGTTTCCTACAAAAGCACGTTATAGATTTACTCAATATATGCCCAATAAACCGGACAAATTTGTTATAAAATTCTGATTAGCTTCCGATGTAACTAGTAAATATATAGTAAACGGCTTCCCATAGTTGGGAAAAGATGAAGGGAGAGAATCATCAATCTCACTTGGACAATTTGTAACTTTGAAATTAGCAGAACCATATACGGGCCATGGGAGAAATATAACAGTTGACAATTTTTTTACAAGCGCGTCACTGGCGAGTAAACTTCTAACAAAAAGAACTACTCTCGTTGGAACTATCCGGAGAAATAAAAGAGAGCTACCAAAATTAGCGAGACAGGCAAAGGATAGTATGACACGCTTCTCAACAATATTATACAAATCGAAAGATTTTATTCTTACAATTTATAAAGCTAAACCAAATAAAAAGTATTGATACTTAGTTCAATGCATTCATCCGTTGAAATTGAAAAAAATGACACCCGTATACCAGAGACAATTAGAGTTTATAATAGTACAAAATTCGGTGTAGATGTAACCGACCAAATGGCCGACGGGTGAGGATATATCGAGGCAAGAGTTTTTGTTTCAGTTGGCAGAAGAACTTGGGACCGAACATCAGAAAGAGAAACAGATAAGCCAAGAATGCTCATCAAAAACAATAATAAATACAAACACTGTTTCTTCTGAACGGAGATCTTGTCAAATAAGATATTGTAAAGTCAACAAAACAAACAAAATTTGTATAAAATGTAAAAAATACGTATGTGGAAAATGTGCAACACAAAATGCTGTAATTTGTAAAAAATGTGATGAAAATGCATAAAAGTAAATAAAACATACAACATCGAAAAGCGGGGAACGAGTTTTTAATGTAGCATCAGAAAAATATTTTGTTTACTATCTACTTTATATATGTTTTTTTTGACGCGGTCATTTGACCGCTCACGGTAGAAATAGGTATAGATGGAATGTCGGTAGCTTTAGTGTTAAACGCTTAAACAAACTGTTAAAAAAACGCTTTTTAGGTTACCATATAACTTCCATAATAATAATTTGTGGCTACTTCTTTAGAAGATCTGATTAAAACAGATGTAGATAAGATTTGGTTGTAACGTGGCTAACGGGGAAATTTAGAACGAGTGCAGATAATTTGCAAAGTGTGCTAAGTGCTAAATAGTTTTAAGCAAAATGGCTATTATGAATTTTGTACAGAGACAGAAAGTCTTTGAACAAATTCAAGAGAGAAAGTTTAAAAGTGTATTGGATAATACACGCATATTCTAACCAGTACTTAAACTAAACGCATTAAGATAAGAGAGCCGTGCTATAATAAAGATTGTACAGCTTCAGATTTGAGGAACAACTAATAAATATATGAAAAGCTAAAATCTTATTAAAAGAAAGAATCGTAGAAAGCAAACAAATTGTGCTGCTGGTAGAAAATCCCAATGTTACACAAATGAAAACCACAGATTGTAAAACATGTAGGTTTCAATATTTAATTGAAAAACTTCTCATGTTTATTATGGTGGGCAACCATAGGTACAAATTTCTTTGGAACTTTTGGATAGACGTTGCGGTAACTCCAGCGTCCAAAAAAAATGGCAATCGGTATAGATGAAAAATTAATAAAAAGATTTCAGCACTATTTTCGTGAAATAGTACGACATTACCTTTATTATTTTTATAACACGAAGTAACCCTTGTTTGTTCTAGCTAGAAAAAAAAGTATTAGCGATTTGTGAACAATTTTAAAATTTTCCTGACAGTTACAGTGACCGAAGAAATGATTGATTCGAAATCCGTCATTTTGTCAGTGAGTTTATACATCGTGGGAAAACTCG